TGCTTGCATTATCTAATCGACGTATAACTATTCCACGTACAGTTGATTGTTTACAAGGAATTTTATGTGTTGTACCCATGCAATTACTTTCATTTCATATTGCAGTTTTACGTGGTTACGATGTTGATTGCCCAAGAAATTTAGCCAAATCGGTTACCGTTGCATAAAATAAACAATTGAATTTTTTTCTTTTCTCTTTTTGTTTGTTGAAATTAATTTGAAACATTTTCTTAATGATTGATTATTTCTTGCTATTATACTCATAATTATGCTTAGTCTGCTTTTATCATAACAAATTGTATTGTTTTTTGTGTTTTTATTTGCAATACGATAAATAACTTAAAAAAGAAAACTGTTTTGTGTTTTTAGATTTAACTTAGACATAATTCTTTTGTTTTTTATGCATTGTTAAATCCACATGGATAATTTTAATGCTTTATTGAATAAATAATGATGTATTATGCTTTGCCAAACAGCGCATTGTTTTTAGTACTGTATCGAATGTATAAATCAATATTGTAACAGATAAGAAAAGTTCCACAGTCTGATAAATTAATTTCGAACCACCTAGTTTGTATAGATTGTGAAAATTAAAATAAGCTATGAGTACCTTGAGAAGAGTTTGTGTCTGTTAATTTACTTCCATTTATTCCTTTTAACTCCATTTTCAAAACTTTATTTCAATTTTTTTTAATTGATAAAAGGCAAACAAGACAGAAAAAGAAAAACAAAAAAAAAAGGGAAAGAAAAAAACATACTCATATCAAAACGTATATCCCTTTATATATATTCTCCTTTCATACTTTCTTCCCCTCCCATATCTCATCACATACCGATGACGTTTCTTTTATTGCATAGGGGTAAATTTAGTACATGGAGAGAGACAAGAGAGAGAAAAAGAAAACATCAAAGAATGCAATGGATGATACCATAAAGAAACACAAAGCAGAATATAGAAGATATATCATAACTAAATTTATATCATGGCCATCGGCCATGACAGTGTCCTTAACGCATTGTTGCAAACTTGCTACCGTTCTTCAGTCAGCAACAATACCGAAAAACGAATTTGCACGGTTCGACTTGAAACTTTGAATAGAGAGACAGATATTAAGGAAAATAGTTTTTTTCCTGAAATTTGCGCATCGTTTGATTTGATTCTATACTGATATACGCGAGCATGAAATCTACTGATTTGTATACGCAACGTAAACAAATATACTTTTATCATAGTTATGTCTTAGCAGCTGGTGGAAGATGTCCCTTGTGAGTTGGCAAGGGGGGAAAAACTCATTCCGAGCCATTCGAATGGCTAAGAATGGCTAGGAATGGTTTTCAATTAATCGCTATGAATTAGTGTCTTGACGTAGTTTAAACTATGCAAAAATTCATTAGAAACATGATTATCGCTATTGTCGAAATGCTCTGAATAAAGGAAGTCTGTTGAAAATAGCATAATCGTTTTCCAATATGTATCAGACTTTATTAATCTTCATCAGATTATGTTGTTACTGACACACATGAGCATTTGTCATATTCATAATTACAAGTAATTACTAACAACGAGACCCATCATTACGTTGATAAAATAATATTTTAATAGAATCAATTCACGATGGAGCCTCACTAACTGACCCCCATAGATTCCAATGAATTTTTATCCATGGATACTGCACGATGTTCCCTAGGAAAACATTGGACTATTTTCAGTTCGTACTGCTTTCTTCAAAAGGTGTTCACATTTTTCAGATTTTTTTCCTTTTCTTTGAGTTATCAGAAAGTGAAATAAACAAATTTTGATTTGAAAATTTGTTAATAAATAGACAGACTAAACCCTAAAATACTATGGAACTTTTAGCAATAATAAATATGTTCTGTTAAATATATTCCTTCAAAAAGTGAGTATATTTCGAAGAACACATTTGTTATTGCTAAAATTTTCTTGATGACTTAGTGTTCAGTCGGCCTATGTATTAACAAAATGTCTGAGCAAAATCCAATTATTTCACTTGCTGGTAACTCAAAAAATAAATAAATCTAAAAAGTGAGTATAATTTTTCAAGACAGTGCTATGCATTCAAAGTCTTTTGATGTTTTTACTATAACATCGTGCAGTATCATGGACGAAAGTTTATTGGAATCCGCGGGCTCCACGTTGAGAAGATATATTAGTTATTGTACAGAGCAAAATAGACAGTGTTTGGAAAATTGATTCCAAGCACAAAGGAAAACAAATAGTAAAGAATTCGACTGGTCGTTCAGTTAGGTTACTATCTAAATACTACTACTACTAAATGCATCTTTTTTTTCGAATTAACTGAATACTATTGAAATCAAATAGAATGTAAAAAATTCATGTAACTAGTCTGCTTTATATGATTTTTCTTATCCTTAAAAGTTACTTGAACATTAAAGAAGAATAGTCATTCAGTATGCACAAATGGGGATGATTTAGAATAATTCGGAATCATGGATATCGCAGAGTGCCAAGGTTAGATAAGAGCAAGACTTTCAATGACTTAAGTAATTGATCAGAGGATGCTTACAAAATTAGTCAGAGTTAAGCAGAGTTCCCAATTTTTTTTAGAATTGATCATCAAAAAGATGCAATCACTTTGCTCAAGAAAAGCAAAATATTTTTCGGGACCTAGGGATCAAATCCATGCTGTACGCTTAGAGTATAAGTACTCCACATCTCAAAGGAATTTTTTCCATTTCATCCGTATTTTTTATGTACTTGAATTCGGATAATGCGTAGTTTTCAATCTATTGATTTTCAATGATTAATATCACTACTTGTGAATATGCGTTAACTAAGTTTAAGATTATGTAAATCGACTTCAATGAAAAATAACACTACATGCGAGTAGGATTGGACCATTTATATTAATTTAAAATTAAGTTCAACATCATGAGTTAGCAATAAATTATAAGTATGAAGTGTTAAGAAAAAAAAGCATCTTGAGTTTTATGCTAACTGACACTACTTCAAAGTCTCATTTGGAACAATGGTCCATCGATATTTGAGAAAATTTTAGAATAGTTTGGAATGGCTGGGAATGCCTGAATGAGTTTTTCCCCCTTGACTGTATGCGTTATCTTGAATATCGTCTACGTGAATTTCATCGATAAATTGAATGTATTCGTCAATGATTATATACTGTTGTGCCGAAACATTTTCTCACTTTACCAACAGCTAGTGAGTTGGAAGAAGCTGTATGTGGAACCAATTGAATCGACGTTGAATTATTGCAACGGAATATTTGGTATGAATGTGATGGTCGCGAATCGCCATATATTAAACGATTTTGGAAAATTCTACATGAAATTTTCAATGACGAGCAGAAAAAATATTCATAAAATGTGTTTGGGGAACACCTACATTGCCAAGTCGAGATGAAGATTTCAAAAAAAATATTTTGCATCAACCTGACAATGAACAGTGAATGTAACGCGAATAAAATCCTTCTGCATAAGTAGAATTGATGCATGCCAAGCTTAAAGATTGCATCTTTGAGCAAGAATTTCTTTTTCCATTTCAAATTAAAAGAAGAGATTTTTGGAAACTATTTGATTTTCGAGCAAGGTTATTTATGGATTCAAAGTCAGGGTATGGGTGTCAATTTCGGTTTATTCATTGTTTTTCGCAGACACACTGCCTGGCATCAACACCTATACGTCTTGTGCCCTCGCCCATACCCTTAAAGTGGAAGCGCGCCATGATATATATTACCTAGACTGAAAGGATAGGGTCTGGAAACCGTAATTCACCTGTGTCTGTCTGTCCGTCTGTCAGTAACAATGGCGCAATTGACCATTTCTATGGTACAAATGACCATTTTTGTGGCACAAATTATCATCTTTATGGTGATTGCCATGCGTGGATTCGTGGGATGGAAACGTGGAATACATCCTTCCAGTGACGGAACCAATGGAGCCAGGCAGGAGAAGCCTCCTACCGAATTTTGAGGCTCCTATCGCAAAATCTCTGAGTAACGCAAGTTAGTAGCTAGGTGAGAGCTAGCCCTTCCATCCCCCCACTTCTGAAAACCTTCGAGCCCGCTGACATGATTCTTCAAACACGTTCGTTATGGATAAGAGGGCCTGAGATTCTCTCCCGCATCCCCAAACCGTAGTTTGACCGTTGCCCCCTCTTCGTGTTTCAGTTTGTCTCTATGTACTTTTTATCATTGATTTTCGTCTGATTCTTGCCCCGTTTTCATTTATTCGATTTCCTCCGCGTCTCCAATCAACTTACACGGTGGCCTCTTCAAAATTTCAGGATCTGTTTCTGAGACAAACAACTAATTTTATCGGCAGTGGGTGAATTTCATGTCGTATTCCATATCAATCTAGGGCTCAGTGAATCGACTTTAGATGTCGGTGAACGTTACTTGTACTTTACTTACGTCACACAATTTTAGTGTTGCCCAAAGATAGCAATATTGATTTCACTTTTTTGCTTCATTCGTGAATCGACCAACAAAAAATCGGGTGATTTCGCTTTCGTCTCACGTCTTCGAAGCACCCGAACATGTGACTGAGTGTTCGGAAATGACTCTTATCCGTAAAGATCTATGACGGTAGTTTGTAAACACCTTTGTTCAGATGATTGTAATATAAAAGTAGGGAGATCGGAATGCGTTGACCGAATGTTCGGAATACACTAAAATTTGAAGGTGGAAATTTCAATTTTCGCCGGTTGTGCTTCTGTTGTACAGACTTTCCGGATAATCATAGATGAATTCTTCATGAACATATCGTACTTCTCAGGGCCTCTGTATTTGTGAAGTATGTTTTTTTCCTATAAGCATATACTCAAAATCTTTGAAAAGTTGACCTCTATTTTCAGATATGTAAGTATAAGAATGAAATGTAATGTTTTTTCATACACAAAATAAGAAACGAAAAATCGAAAATCGATATTTTCTTGTAGCTACTTTAGAAATGTCATTAGCCTAATCGCAACAGTTATCATCTTCGTCACTTTATTCAATCAATCAAAACAAGAATAAATTTTGTAACGAAGGAAAATAATGATAATAATCTTGTGAATCATCCAATGGTTGAAGAGTAATTAATTGTTTTATCTTCGCACAATTGCGTCGTGTTTCTTCTCTTGTAAAGTTCTTTGTCACAATTTTTAAGTGACGAGGAGACACTTTCAATTTGGTTAGACAAGGTACACATGCCTTTGTTTCATTCAGAAATTGTTCAAGATAATCTCGATGGCTATAGCCCACATCAAGTGAAGTAAGATGCGGATATTCAATCATTGAATACGATTGACTATGGTCAGATGATAATGTACAATCTGATGATAGCTGCAGTTCGATATTGAAAATACGTAAATCCTTCAGTAATGGAAACGATCGGGCGATTCGAACGAAGAATTCATGTCTAAATGCATCCTTATCTTCCACAACTAAATATGTAACATAATTGAATATAATATTTGGAAATGTATTGCCAAGAGATCCAAGATAATCAAATGCAAAAGGAAGTGAGAAAATCGAACATTCCACTACGGATCTGCTAAGGCGATTGACGATAGTAGTCGCATTTTGTTGCCCGATATTTATGAATGTTTGCTGGATATGTTCACGAGATATATTATGACGTAAATCATCACCGTCAATATAAGTACTAATATAGAAAGTGAATGAATGAAGTTGTGACATTTGAGCAAGAATATCATCTTGAACACGAGTACCATCGGTGATTCTATGTTGATCGTTTATACAAAGATATAAAGTTAAATGTTCTAGATAAGACATACGACGAAGAAGAGATGGTATTTGTTCATACTGTTGAAATCGAAAGTAAGATTTTAATGAGAAGCATTTTAGATTAGGTAACATATCCTAGAAAAAAGAAAAATATCTTCATTAATCTAAAAAAACAAATCATAAGCATAATGACTTGTCATGGTAATCATATTTTCTATTCAACATTGTTTTTTTCGAAAAGTATATTCTGTGTAGATTCCGTTCTCCAGGTAACACCAACGTATGGGGAAAATTGTTTTTCCGCATCGTCAGCAATACTGATAACTAGATGTGCCTGTCCCATGTAAAAACAATTAGGGTAGAAATCAGATGATAATCGATTAAAAAATGATTAAAAATCGATTATAATCAAAAATAATCCAAAAAAGAAAGTTTTCATCGATTATTCCCATTATTTTCGATTATAATCGATTAAACCTTCATGAAAAAATTGATTATAATCGATGCAAATCGAAGAAAATTCATAAAAATTTTGACATTTTTCGTGTACAAAAAACAATTATAATCAATTTTTTTCATGAAGTTTTAATCGATTATAATCGAAAATAATAGGAATAATCGATGAAAACTTTCTTTTTTGGATTATTTTTGATTATAATCGATTACTAATCGATTAAAGGTATGATTATAATCGATTTTTAATCATTTTTTAATCGATTATCATTTGATTTCTACCCTAATTTTTTTACATGGGGTCTTTCTATTTTCTAATAGGTTACTTTGTATTTCCCGATTCATCGCAACAGAATATTGACTCTACATTTCTAATAATGAAATTCTCCGTTGACACTACGATTTCTCTGTAATAACAATTGCAAATAACAAATTCATCCGTTCGCTTTGGAAACTTTAGAGGCAATTGAAAATTTTAGAGAAAATTCCTATCATATGTCATTAATGAGAAAGATCGGTTCTATAGAAAATAATTCATTCTATTCAATGCTTATAATCATTAATATATAGCAATTGATAAAGAAAGAACGATTCACTACATATGACTAATCTGACAAATCATTTTATGGAGATTATTCCTAGCAATAAATTTCAATCATTCGATCAAAACCAAATTCTTAGTAGGTACAAATTCAATGTCAATCGCTTATACATCATTGCTTATCTGATTCTTTTTCTTGGTCGTATAACATTAAAGCAAAAATGCAGTGAAGTAGTAAGTATCTGTGTCACACAAGCGACATCATCATCTATGAAAATTTACCGTGTTTTGAACAATTGCTGAAAAACTGTCTATGGAATAAACATTAACATTGAATGAAGTTAATTGCTTGAGTCGGCCATCAAGTAAATAAAGACAATCATCAAAAGTTTGCACCACGATAGACAAATGGGTAAGAATCGAAGAGTAAAAAGTAGTCGACGGTAAATCACAAAGTGATAAACCTGGACACAGCATAACACATGGTCCCATAATATTGAGATACGTTAAATTTTTGAAGAAATTCAAGATGTGCGCATATACATTTATTGTATATTCTTTCAATGAACCTACTCTTGCGCTCTTATCATTATTAACAAGAATAAGGCTTGTAATTTGTTGTTGGAAAACAGATCGCAGCGATGATTCATCTAAAGAAAAAACAACGAAGCATACAATTAGCCATTCTATCTAACATTTTTTTTTCTAAATCATGAAGTGCATGTTAAGTGTCTACCTGTAAAATATTTTGAAGCAATTTGTTGTTCGAAATTGAAAAGTTTAAGTTCAGTTAGATTTGGATAAACAGCAGCAAGAAGAATACGTTCCATGACAGCTGGTTCAAATATGAAATATTTGATATTCTGATGAATTCTTGGTAATATGTAGATGCAGAATCGATCAATTAAAGAAATATTATTCGTATTTACGAAATTGAGAATATTAGTGAACGTGTTTTCTTGCGCGATGATGTCAAGTCGTCCATTATTAATGTCCAATAACGAATAAAGAACATCAATATTGTTCAATTTTCTCAAAATGATGAGTAATATTTCATTAGGCAAATCCAGAAGATGAATATTATATTGATTCATCTTTTGTTATATCTATGACGCTTTTACCAAAGATAAACCTATATGTTTATTCGAACGGAAATGGAAGAATAACTTTAAGAAAAAGAAAGAACATATTGTTTTTGTAAATGAAAGCCAATTGAATTTCAGTCGTATATTAGCTGTTGTACAGTTGATATAAAAAATTGAAATTTTGTTCAAAGACATAGTTCTTTCAATTGGCTTATATTTTTTGGCACAACAGAATTCAGCTGTAGTATTGAGACGTTTTCATCATAAAAAAAGTATTGACAATAGTCTTATAATCTATTGTAAGGAGAGAGAGAAATACTTTGAAATATATGCATTGCGAAGAGAAGTGTAATATCATATAGATACGTCAGTGCAGATCGTTACGAGAGATTTCATTTCGTCGACACAATAAAGGAACCAAATACGAACACAACAACTTTTTCTCTCTTGACCTGCAATCAAACTCAACTGTACTGGAGTATAAGACAAGCGTCATATGGTCTTTATTTTTCGATTAAAACATACATTTATTCACTTGTGAATTATTTTATAATAAAGGGCGATGATAGCAAAAGTCGTTTTCGAACTTCAAGACGTTTCAATTTCTATACTAGAACCACTTTAATAGGAACTCTACGGTAGGATCAAGATTTATTTCGCAATATGTCTGTCGATTTTTCGAGTAACATTCATACATTTTTCGAACAGTGGCCAAAGCTAGGAAATTCAAAATTTATTTTTCTGGGAATTTTATTTTTTACGAGCACAACTACAAATGAATTTTCCAATGATTTTTATGCAGTTTCGAACACGCTCAGCTATTTAGATATACTTATACAATTTTGCGTGAGACCACGAAAAAAGAAAATATATACTTTCGGAAAACTAAAGTTGACTTTCGAATGCTGCGAAACCTATCCTGGTCGTTTTTCGCAAATATCTATTTTTTTAGAGTGTAGTATGGATCCAGGGTTCCTAGGAACACGAATCTAAAAGTTCGTTCATGTTTCTTGGAACGAAATCAGATACTGACACGTATACACAAAGCTCGAAGATTCAACTGAGAAATATTGTGCAATAAATCTTTGGAATATAATCAGATGTTTCTGCTATCTTAACTTTGGTACAAAAATCGACATATCGTAGAGTAGAATATATTTTTATTTCACCCTGCTTTTTGGTTGCGTAATTTTCTCAAATATCACAAATATATTCTTGAATATTGGATTCATGTTTAATAGTGGCGGACGAAATAAGAAAAATAATTACGGATTTTTTTTTGACAAGCACAGAGATTATGGGAGAAATGTGTTTGAAACATGGCGATAAAAGAAACGTGTTTCGTCATTTGAGTAGTGATACCTCCAACTGAAAGTACAGATTCAAAGCAACCAATGGCAATAGATACCAAAGTAAAATCTTTAGAAAACATATAATAAGGCAGAACTAGTTTATGCGCTCTATTCTGTCTCGCTGAAAGACAAAATAGGTGCACGTTCTGCTCTGGAGTCATCTCTGGAAATGGCATATATTGAAAAGAAGAATGAAAGAAAAAAAAAACCAAAATATAGAACATGGTCTTGGTGTGAAAATTATTGAGGAACGATTGATAGCTATCTACTTTCATGTTGGGTATAAAGCGGAAATTTGAATAATGAAATAATGCGCAATACGATCTATATAGATAATAGTTCGAATATTGATTTTAATATACAAAGATGGAATTTAGAAGAAAACAAAATCTTGGGAACAGATTCTGAAAGAATAGGGAAAATGTCTTCGAGATAAATATCATTATTTTAAAAGAAAACGATTCATGAGCATGTCTGAAAACGTTTTCATTCCAAATATTCAATAAATGTTGCCCATCGGCAACTTTCACATTGTCATACTAAGATTTTAATATTTACTTTAAAATCTTCTTTTGATTAATCGGATTCTATATTGAAGATTCTTCAACAGTAAGAACATCATCAACATTCTCTTTATTTTCACGCTAAGAATGTATTATGTTGATCTCTATGGTGATGATGCAGATTTATTTATTGCTGGTTTAGCTATGGGCAATTGTCGTGTGGCAACATTTTCACTCTATCGATATGATCCATATTTAACATTTAATGAATCAGATTGGTTTAGTTGTAAATTAAGAAGTGCTACTAAATCAGAGAAACAAATTGTTAAACGACGAAATATATTATTACTCAGAGCCTGTCGTCTTTTGACACATGAAATATGTCATCTATTTGGAATTGCTCATTGTATTTACTATTCTTGTCTAGTCAATGGAAGTGGCGATCTAGGTAAGAGTTTTGCTTGCAGTTACTTTTTTTTCGAAGGACAGCCCAAGATAACAGTTCGTTTTACACCACTCATGGTGTTACGTTAAAATTATAGAAAAACCAATGCTCACTCATTTCATAACCTCTTGGGTTCATTTGGCCTCTTTTTTAGTGTGCTTCTGAAAGAACTATCAATTTGGAGTAAAATAAGATGCATGCAAAGATGGCACTATACAGATCGGAAAAATAATAACAGACTCAGAAGCAATGTCAAATTATTGACAAAATGAAAAATGTTTGTTTCAAGTTATTCGGTATTCCTCGATCTTTTGCTTTGATGTAATACTAAGACAATTGTTCTTTTTCAATATTTATAGAATCTCGTATAATAGACATATCTTTCTACTATTTTGTTGATCTACGTATCGCCATCTCTATATACGTCACAAATATGCAATGATAAAAGTAGTCTTTCCATTGTGAAGTTAAAGCTATACCGGAAAAGTAGTTTGCATCTCATTTTATTCGAAATTGATAGTTCTTTCAAAATTCACGCACGAAATGTGACTCAACACAAACTCTTATCATGACCTGTAGTTTTTCTGATATTTACATTTATAGAAGAAGATTTTGGTCAACCGCTACTTGAATGTCCAGTTGATCTACGAAAACTTTATTCATTAATCAATTTCAATATTTGTACAAGATACGAACAATTATTGACATTTTTTAAGATGCACGATTTTCTTGATGAAATAAAAATGGTTGAAACAAAACTCAATATTATAAAACATTCAACAGAGCCGAATTCGAGTAATTCTTCTATGTTGACGAAGATTGTAAAGAGAAAACGTGCTAACAAAATTAATACAAAAAAAGATGTTCCTCTGACCACAGCAACAGTACCAGAAGATGAAGAAGTATCAGAAACATCAGCAAAACATACGAAATGCCACTAACACTGAAGTGCATTGATTTTTTTATTGATCATATTCATTTTAATTCGAATAAAAGATTTTCTATGTAGCGGGTGAGTCATACATAACTGACTTCTTGGCATTTTTTAGATTTTTCCCGAGGGAGTCAGTGTTGATCTTCGTACCATACACTCACCCAAACCCTAGATAAACAAGCAATTCGTCTAGTATCTGAGTATGCAAGAATTAAAAGTATACACCACTTTTCAACTCCACCAATAATCAAATTATATATCAGAAAAATTAATTGTCTCAAATGAATCGTTCTAAGCTACACTCACCGACACTCACACCCACACCACATGGATATCGAGATACTTTCATTGAATGGACCATTGGATTCTAGATAGATTCATTTCCCCATGATTTTACCGAGAAAAGCTTATTCATATCTTTTATTTCTCATTTTATTACCAATCATAGTGGTAAGTTTAATAAAAATGCTGTTATATAAGTAGTTTGATTACCCATAGAGAATCACATCATTTGGTTCATTGAATTTTCCGTATAACAGCCGATAGAGCTTTTAAAATGTTATAAAGTCAATCAATTTTTAAACTCCCGAAAGAGTCTTAATTTACGAACTTCGTGAAAAACTCATGCTAAGATATCATTGTCTACTTTTTTCGACATATAATTCGCAACTTTCGATGAGACAATTACAACATGAGTGAAAACCAATAACATATTTGGAATTAGCGTTAAAAACTGAGCCGACTTATCAGTATTTCAACTCATTTTGTGAACGTTTTCAGTCAAAAAAATTCACCTGTGGTCCCCCGCACGGTTCTAAGCAAAAACGTTTTTCTTTCAATTTTTTTAAAGGATTTATCTCAGCCACTAATTTTACTACATATGATATATTAACACTTAACTTCACAAACCCGCATAGATTTCATTGAAATCCCAGAGAAACACCCAGGGACCTTCCCTCGTTAGATGAAAATATTGCATTGAACAGAACTAATTACAAAATGAATAATATCCATCGATCATCCTTTTTTAATTAAGGGTGTGAGCGAGGGTGTGGGTCAGGTTATAGACCCACACACCCACACCCAAACCCTCAAGATTCTTCAAAGATCGTATTAATGTGTAAGATCTTTTAAGAATCTGATTGTGCGAATTGATCTCAGATCTCAGGAACTACAATTTTTTGTCAGGTTCTTGTAAGATTTCGCCCGTATTCGAAGATCTTGTATGTGTTTCATAAGATCTTGTGTCAAATTTTTCTACCTGGGTGGCTAGAGTTGGATTCCGTTAAAATCGGACATCGGATTCGATTGGATCCGACTGGGAATCCCATAAGATTTCGTCGATTTTATTGAAACACATATGGTATTCAGTATATTCACTGTCTGACTCTTGTCGGAATGATTCTCCTGGGCTTCCTAATATTTTTTGATAATAAATAATGATAGTTTAATTTCTTTTGTTTTCAGCTATATGAATATTTTGACTCTTAGTATAATATAGCCTATGTAACAGAAATCGCATGAAAGTCGGTGCTTAACGGCGGTTTTACCGGTCAAGTTACTGGCTCTCTTTACCGCAGGAAAGATAAATACCGGGGTTTACCGCAAAAAATGATCCGGTATTCGCAACATGGGAGATATTTAGTGGCCTTTTTATTTGATCCATCGCTAGATAAAATACTGACAAAAACTTCTAGATAGTATATCTATATAAATAGTCAAGCTTTCAAGAGAGAGAGACGAAGAAAACTAAGCTATTATCTAAACAAAGTATAGTAAAATAAACAAATAGTGTATATTCATTCTTGTTTAATATATTTTTGTTTGAAAAGTGAGTTTATACAAATTAAATTTCAGTTCTAAAGATTCAAAAAAGAAGTGACGCTTAAAACTCTGTTGCAACGTATTTCCGAAATATACTGGTTTTTAGGTAAAATATACGTTATTAAAAGCAAGTTTTACCTCGTTTAAAATAATACATTTAAGCGAGTTTTTTAGAATAGTTTTTTTAAAACAAAAAATAATGTTTCTTTCCGAACGCATTTAAATGGCTTTTATTAAAACGCGTTTTCAAATGAAGGGTGTGAGTGTATCGATGACTCTTTTCTTCTCCACACCCACACCCTTGTTGGAGATTTCTTGAAGGGATTTATACGATGTTGGCGTCTTTGAATTAAACGTAGTTTTCGCAGTTCAATAGCAAGAAAGAAAACGTATTTTTCAGCTGTACTTTCGCTACTTTCCGTTCGTTCAGCAGAAATAAGTTCAGACTGAACGAAGTAACAATAATTTAAATACACTCATATCTTATTGACATCTGGTGAATCTCAAAACTAGTAGCAATCTGTGTACCATTACCTTATCTGTTCTCATTCTGATGCTATAATTAACTTCAATTTTCCAAGAAAAGAGCATACTACGAATTCCTGAAATTAAAAGTTGGAGAATGAGACTCTTCGCAGTTGTCACGTATCACGAATTGCGTAATAGAAATAGAAGCGGTTAAGGTCAATGATGTATTTTATTGACTTTAGAAACAGAAACAGAAAAATGAGATGAAAGAAACGAATATTAATGCTAATCCAGTTTTCTTTAGAAGAGAGCATATATATATATATGAATATAGATATGATGACTCATTCGAAAGGAAATTAAAGAACAGAAAACAAAACAAACACATATAATATAATATATGTGTTACTATATCACAGCAGTCTTATCCACCCGTCAGTGCTGTCATTTTTACCGATTCTCACAATTATTTTTGAAATTTGAGCCTGTGTTTTACAAAGATAAATGATAACATTATTCATTATTTATCTTCATTCATTACTAACGCAAGTTGGTGTTTTCATTTTTACTAAAAATATAAATACATTAGAGTTGTCAGTTAGGAGTACACTTGTTTCTAGCGCGCTATTCTCAATTAAAACACATTTTCTCAAGTCAAAAACAAAGTAACATGGTAGGAAATATATTTCTTTTGCACTTCTTAACTATAAATGTCGTGTTTCTTCTTCTAAGAATCCATCGGATCAACTACGTATCGTTCTAATAGGTAGAACAGGCAATGGTTAGTATACTCAATATTGATGATCATTGAAATAATGGATATTTTTAGGCAAAAGTGCTACTGGAAATACATTATTACTATCTCGAAATGCTTTTCATTCTTTACAGTCAGCGCGATCAGTTACTACAGATTGTGTGGCACACACTGTTCAACGAACAGATGATTCTGGAAGAGCTAAGTCAATTCTTGTGGTCGACACACCGGGATTTTTTGACACTGATACCAATATTACTAATGAGATAGTCGAGAGAAAGATCGATTCACAAATATTTGAAATGACATCACCCGGTGTTCATGCCTTTTTGATCGTACTTCGTATTGGCCGATTCTCTCCTGAAGAAAGAAACACTGTCGATTTTATTCGAACTATTTTTGGTCCAAATGCTGCTAACTATTGCATTGTCGTCTTCACTCATGAAGATCAATTAGAAGGACAACCCCTAGATGATTTTATTGCGTCATCGTCAGCGTTGCAAGAGCTGGTCAATATCTGTGGAAATCGTAAATTCGCTATTAATAATAGATTGCTTGGTGAACCTTCGGAAAGAAAAACTCAACATCTATTGGGAATGATTCAAAGAATGGTCAATGTCAACAATGGAACTTGTTATACCAATGCAGAATATGAGCGCATTGAACAAAAGAGACGGAAAGAAGAAGCAGAACGTAAAGAAAGAGAACGCAAGCAAAAAGAGGAATATGAAACAAGTTGAAGCGAGAAGTAACGGTCGCCTCTTTTAGTATAGAACTAATCCTAATTCATTGTTTCGTTTTAGGCTGCAGAAGCAGAAGCTATAAGACAAAACCAAGTTATAGATGTCAGAACAGAAACACAAACAAGGGAAATCAGTCGTATAGTCACGCCAATAAAGTCAACCGAAAGAAAGCGTAAACATGGATCAAAAGGGTGGATATCGAAGGGTGGAAGTGGTTATGATTATTATGAAGTGCAAATAGGTAGCTCAACAACTGTAAGGTGGCGTGCGGAACAACGCGAAGTCAAAACATTTCAGAGTGGAAGGCAAGAATTCGGTGATTGGAGAGGGATAAGAGAATGGGAGACTACTGGGTAATTATTGAATGTGGCTGAATGAACATTAGCATTAAACCAAAGCTATACGGGTGTGGGTGTGCGCGTGGACACCTGTGAAGACAAGACTCACACCCACACTTGAACACGTTTTTGAAAATTTTCTAGTGTTGCTTCTCTATTTACTTTTACATTCATACAGATTTTAGTTAATCTAGATATTAAATTTTTAAGTAATACAGTTTTCACTTTCAAAGTCTTTTCGGAAGAGAAAAAATAATAGAGCCATCGTTGATTTTCTTCAGCATCCGACAAACACAGAAGAAATAGAAACTTACTTCACTTGAAAAAAACATTGCCGCTACAATTTTTTTCAAATGAATGTCGTAATGTCACTATTATTAACTGTTAGAAAAAAAATACTGTATGCAGCACGTATCTTCTCTGAAAAAGTGTTCGATTTCAAGGTGAAGCCGTATTCGTCATGAAACGATTTTCATCACCTAAAGGAACAATAATTGATTTTGGATTTAAAAGAGCCTTTAATCGCATCACATACAGATGCTAAATAGAAAAATCAGTCTGAAAATGAATTGAAGATACTGCACAATAATTTCGTTATTATTCATTTACTAAGGTTACGCTGATATGATTAGATTAAAGACATCTGTTTTGTGAACGAAATATATTTTGTAGCAGCGATTTTTGAATGAACTTGTTCCAATGAACCTGTTCTGTTATATTATATCAGGTATTTGTTTCTTTGTTGTTCATAGAAAATTGTTAACTTTATATTTCATTTATTTTTATTTTTCAAATAATAAAAATTTTCAAATTTATTAATCTTTTAATTGTATATTATATGATTCATCTGATGATAATATTCGTCGATCTAAATGTTGAATATCAATTAAATATTTTTTGTTCAATAATCTGATAATTGTTAAAATTAATTGTCTTTCAAGTAAGAATCCTAAACCATATTCGACTAACTGAAAAATTGAAATATCAATAGCTATTAGCAGTAAAAAGTCACTAACTTTCTTTAACACTAATTTTTGATCGTTGAGCATTGTTCTCTTGGAATTTTAACAGTTTCTTCATCATCTTCTAATTTTGATGAGGTTGTGGGTGTGAGGTTGGGTTTAGTCAACGTGTAATGTTAATCAACACGCACATCACACCCGCACTCAAGTCGAACATGATTTGTGTCGCGTGCGGCCTTTTTTTATCGGCACAACTTCGTATTTTGCAAGTTGCAAGCTGAGCTAGAACGGTTTTTTATGGGTTACTCTTCAATAAATGAGAAACGCCATAAAGAAATTACGAAGACCCATGCTTTTCCCCTTCGAAGTCCAATCCAGATGATAAGGTGAAACACACATGGCAGAATCCTAGATAAGGAAAGTGTGTGACAAATGGTATTGCATCACCCACCTGTAAATCAACATTTACAGCCCATCAGGCGGTTTAAACCGGCAAAGCTCTCATTTCTTTTTCATTCATTTCTAAGTGAAAAAAAAACGATGGCGAGCTATTTCAAAACTCCGTTTCAAATCGGTGGCGAGTCGCATTTCATCGAGGTAAAAGTCCCGAAAGTCGACGTATCAACTGGCAACAACATCATCTGTTGTGTCAAATGTTTCTGGCTCGATGGATGGTGCTCCAATTCGTAATGTCTGTCAAGTCTTACGTGATATTTACCAACCAACACAGAGGGAGTATGGTTTGCTCACTTACAACAAGACACTTCTTTCGAATTTTATTCTCTATCAATATCAATTTTTCGTTTTAAATTGATCGTATATACATAAAAATCGAATGTGTTCTTTCGTTATTTGTTATAATAAATAATGAAAGAACACGTTCGATTATATGTATATACGATCAATTCAAAACGAAAAATTGATATTGATAGAGAATAAAATTCGAAAGAAGTGCCAGGAGCAATGGG